AACAAAAATTGAATAAAAAAGGAATCTCACTCCCTGTTAGAAAATGTTGCACCAAAAACAATAAAAAAGACCCAAAACAATAAATACAATGGCCTATCCATTGTCAACAGCCAAAACTGCACTTCAATAATGAATGAATGAATGAATGAATGATCAATTTATTCAGTCAGTTATCTTAAGATAATGTACATTAACATGTCATACAATTAGATACAAATACCATTTCTCACTAACATATGCCTTGTTTTTTATATGGTGTCTATTTGGTATATCATGACTGAATAGGTTTAGGCAGAAGCAATAGCTTATATAATTGCCTAACCTACTTACAAAACATTTTTTTAATTTCCCGCAATGAACCAACAACCCAAATAAAAGTAAAACACAAATCCATCCATCAACATCAAATTAATACTCTTCAAAAATATTTTTACTGATAAGTTTTTTAAGAACTGAAAGAGAAGTTGCTAATTTTAATTCTATTTTAGCCTCATTCCAAAATTTTACTCCCATTACAGAGATACATCTCCTTTTCATGCCCTTTTTGGCTTTTTGTAGAACAAACATACATACACCTCTTAAATCATATTTACTTTCCCTCTTTACAAAGAACATTAGTATATTTTTTGGCAGAGCTGTTAATTTTACTCTAAACATAAATTGCATTATTTTATAATAATATAGATCTTCTAATTTCATAATCTGTGATTTTAAAAACAACGGGTCAGTATGAGCATAATAATTGCTCTTGTTCATAACTCGAATAGATTTCTTTTGTATAGTTTTTATTTCATGTATATACGTTTTAAAAGTTGAACCCCATATTTCTATACAATATGCCATGTATGGTTGTATTAGTGAACAGTATATTAGACGTAAGGCCTTATGGTTTAGTATGTCCTTCAGCTTATATAATAGACCCAAAGATTTGGCAATTTTTCCTTTTATGTAATTTAAATGATGCTTCCAGGATAAGTTAGAGTCAATCACAACACCAAGAAATTTTATTTCAGACACTCTTTCAATTTCAGTATCTGAAATTTTTAATTTAAAGTCCCCATTTTTTACCTTCTTATTTCCAAAAATCATAAATTTAGTCTTTTTTATATTCAGTGATAGTTTATTTACATCAAACCAAGATTTGAGGATATTTAACTCTTTTTCGGCCTTCTTTAAAAGTTCTTTTATATCTTTACCTGAACAAACTAAATTTGTATCATCTGCAAACATTATAAATTTGAAAAAATCTGCCACGTTACATATGTCATTTATATATAAAGTAAATAATATAGGACCTATTACTGAACCTTGTGGAACTCCACAACTTATTTCTCTAAATCCAGATTTTATATCTTTAATTTGTACATACTGTTGTCTGTCTTGTAAGTAACTCTCTATCCAGGACTTCGCTATTCCTCGTAGGCCATAATTTTCCATCTTTTTCAATAATCTCCTGTGGTCAATGGTGTCAAAAGCCTTCTTTAAATCAACAAATATGCTAATAGAGAGTTCTTCGCTTTCACTTGCTTGGGCTATTTCTTCTACCATCTGCATTATCGCATAGGTAGTGGTTCTGTTTTTTCTAAATCCATATTGACTGTCACTTAATAATTTATTTTTAGTAATATATACGTCTAGCTAGTTCACAAATAATTTCTCGAGTATTTTTGAAAATTGTGGAATAATTGCTATTGGCCTATAGTTTTCCATAGAATGCTTATTTCCAGTTTTAAATGTTGGGATCACTTTTGTTATCTTCATAGTTTTAGGAAAATGACCTTTTTGTAGTGATAGGTTATATATATATGTCAATGGTCTCACAATAGAGAATATAACTTCTTTTATAATTCCCATATCAATTTCATTTATATCTGTGGATTTTTTGTTTTTAAATTTTCTTACTGTATTCACAACGTCAGTCTCACTTATCTCATGTAGAAACATTGAGTTGATATTACTATTTATCAGATTATTAAATGTATCTGCATCAGGTGGGACTGCTATCTCATTTGCTAATGAGGGCCCGACGCTTACAAAAAATTTGTTAAATTCTTCCACTATATTTATTAGATCATTTACTTTATGATTTGAACTATTTAGAAAGTAGTTTGGCCATTCCAAAGTTGTCATCCTTTTTTGAATTATATTATTTAATATTTTCCACGTCCTACGAGTATCGTTTCTGTTTTTATCTAAAATTTCATCATAATATTGCTTCTTTCTGATCCTAATAGCTGTAGTTAATTTATTCTTATATTTTTTGTAATTGTCTTCATTTTCACTTGTCCTATGTTTGATGAATTTTTCATATAATACCATTTTCTTTTTACATGCCTTTAACAGACCTTCTGTCATCCACAGCTTTCTTTTATAATTTTTCTTTGATAATAAATAAAAATAATAATAGAGTTGTACATTTTTTAACTTTGATTATATATATATATATATATATATATATATATATATATAGAGAGAGAGAGAGAGAGAGAGAGAGAGAGAGAGAGAGAGAGAGGATGGAAAAATTATTGAGATGGGCACGTGACGTGTCAAGGGGTCTTTACATAACACCCCCCACCCCAAATCCGCACAAGTCTGCTGTGTCCCCCCCACTTCTGAAATCAAAATTTCGTCCCTGGGTCTAACGGCACTTGGCAAACAACAATTTGGTGCATTACCGCCACCAACTGGATTGGAGTGGAACGACTACCAATCACTTCCTGTTTGTGCATCGGTGTCTTAATAACCCTCTTATGACCATAATTATAACAAGGCTGCCCGGTATTTTTTTAATCTTATGGCTGTAAAATTGTAATAAAAAGCGCTAAGTGTGTGTAACTCTTCTCCTTTTTTCAGAACAACCTCAGCTTTCAGTCTATGGTTTGTATTTAGGATTTATTTCTATTAAAGCCTTTAAAAAATCAGCTTAAAAGTGAAAAAAGCAAAAAACGGATTTAAATTTTTTACATTTTTTACTGAACAGGAACTTCTAAATGACTGGGCAAACATTTTAAACTTTGAACTGAAATGCATCTATTCTTAAATAAGTTTGAACCTTGGTATCTTTTTTTTTAGCAGTTTTTAGGACCATTTATTTTTGTAAACTTTCAGACGTTTTTATTTGATGTGGTAGACCTTGAAGCAGTTTCTTTCTAGCTGCAGGCAAAGTCCTGCACACCTCACACTACCATGGGATGCTCTTGCACACCGTGCACTGCTATACCAAAAACTTGTTTTAGCAAAAATAATTATTTATGGTAAAAAGATAAATAATCCTGGAATGAAGCTGAATCTGACAATTAGCAAAGAGTTGAGGGTTGTTCAAATAAAAAAAAAATAAATAAAGACTGAACAAACATTCATACCCTGGTTCACTGGAGATCTGTCCTTTGTGGTCACCGTCTTCAGATATAAGCCTTCTGGGACACCTAATAGATTGTGCTGATTTTCTTTCAGGCATTTCCATAATTTCATGCTGGTTTTTAGCTTCCCCGTTCCGTTATCCGCTTCCACCGCGGCGCTGCGCTCCGTTTCAATCAGGCTGTACAGCAGCATTTCCTCTCGTAGCGATATTTTCCATACCTCTGATTGCTTCATGCTATAGATCGTGGAAAAGCTGCTTTTATGTACTTTTAGGAACCGTTGGAATATTTTGAATCTGATCAGACATTCAAAAGTTATAAAACGGAGCATTTTGGATGACAAACTCAGCACACCTCTGAATCTGTGTTGTGCTTCGTTGCGCTCAAGACAGGGAATCCCGGTGGCTACCGTAATGTATTGTATATGCACGAAAAGCCCCATTTTTAATCTTTTCAGCACTTTTGGAATTTTTATGATATCTTGAACGGTTCAGGAATTATGGTCATGAGAAGTGCGCATGTCCAATACTGTCTGCGGCGACAGGTTGGTAATAAGAATATTGTGGCATTAACCTAGGGGTGCCGGCGGTCAGGGCTAGGGGGCCCCCCAACGCAAGGGGGCCCCAGGCGGCCACCGGCCTATTCCTAATGGTAAAACCGCCTCTGCCAGAAGGCAGCAGAGAAGTACCAGCAAGCAGTTTAGCTAGCCTTTGAATAGTGCAGCTAATAGAGACGCGTTCTTAGCGAGGTGAGGCGCATAAGAACCGAGGAATGAGGATGATGCTGTTGCTTCTAAGTGGAGGGCGGGGCCTCCACACAGGGTCACACCGATTTGTCTTTACAGGTGTGATTAGATGGGTCTTCATCCAGGCCATACGAGGGTGTGATGTCCCATAGTGCCTTCGTTGTACCAAGCGAATCAACAAAAATAATCAGCTTTTTTTGCTGATAAATTGTAAAAATGAGTGTCTAATAGGGCTGTAGACGTGTAGTCATTATGTCAAAATTCTGCCTAAAATCATTAGTATAGAATATATTATAGTATAGCATATAGCATCAGTATTTATAAAATAATTTATTTAAATAATAACATAAAATTTCTTAAGCTTTTAGAACAAATGTTAAATGCCACAGTAGATCACTTTTATTATGGATGCATCATATAATCAGCTGGTAATTAAGACTCAGCTGGAAAATCATAAACCTCTTTAGGTCCCTGAATGCACCATTTAGAAGCTGGAACAAAAATCCTACATTTTCCTTGGTTAGTGAACTCACCATCAGTAAGCATGAATTCATGTTGGGAGATTTTTACATTCAGAGTCAAAACCTTCAAGCTGTTAGAAGAAAAATGCTGTTTTTACATTAGTTAATAGAAATAACTGATAATCAACCAAAACCATTATCAGCAGGTCCCAGGATCAGACACGCGTATCAGCACTAAAACCAGACATGTGACTCTGAAATCAAAGGGTTTAGATTGTAGAGGAACCCAGTCTGTGTGGTGCTTGTACAAAACTTCAGTGTGTGATCAGAATCATGAGTCGGGTTTGGTCCAGCTAATGCTGAGGCGACGCGTCTCGGTGCCTTTCCTTCACAAACAAACATTTCAGAGGAAGAAAAGTTGGCAGAGGAAACCTATTAGTGCAGACCTAATGCACCTCTAGAGGAGCACCAGAACCTTTTTATTGTGACAGCAAACAAGCCGAGCAGAGGAACCAAACTATTACACACCACTTTAGCATAATCAGATATGCTTAAAAGCCTCTCTTTAGCCTTTAAGCTCCACTCTTCATGTGAGGCACTCAGAGTTAATACGCAAGTGGCCCAAATTAGTCATTTTCCTTCTGTCTGAGCAGAACTTAAAGTCTTCATCTCAGATATCAAACTGTTTGTTGGGTTTGGTGGATTCCAACATGAGTTCATACAGCTGACAGATCTGTTCATCCTGGAAGTGGCTGAGCTTCTCCTCTGACAGGTCCGTGCCAAACACCACAGAGCCACGCGGACTTCCTGACGACTCCAGGACCTGTGTCTGCAGGGTGTCCTTGTATTTCTGCAGTAAAACACACACACACACACACACACACACACACACACACACACACACACACACACACACACACACACACACACACACACAGATCAGGAGCATAATTAGCAGCACCTGGTCTTCCACTTCATTTCTACTTTTAGAGTCAATAAGCTTCTAATTTGGTTCAGAGTGGATGGAGATGAAGAGCATTAAAAACCTTAGGAAGGAGATGACATTTCTGAAATAAATAAGCAAAAACATCAGAGGATCCCTATGAGAGGAGTGAAAGTATCCAAGCACCGCTCTGAGACGAAGGGGAGACCTCTGACCCGGTCTAACTTAGGGTTAGGGTTTACCATCAGTGAGTGTGGGGTTGCCATTTCTGCTGCGAGTTAATACTGCAGCACCAACAATTGTAATTTGATGACAGCTGGCAAAGCTCCATAGTTGTTTAGTGGTTGCAGTAACCAAATTTTACTACAGTATGTAATTTTTACTTCATTTCTACATAATGCACCTTTAAACGCCGTTATACTTTAATGCTGTTACCAATGATGATAACGCCGTTACTAAAAAAAATAGTTTTTTCAGTAATGAGTAATCTAATTAATTACAGTTTTCTTTCATCATAACGCCGTTTCCGTTACGGATAAGAAAATGTGTGTGTTACTAATCCAGCAGCACGGTGTGTTGAAGCCGTTATCAGCCGATTGGGAACAATAAAAAACATTTGGACATTTTATTATATTCCAGTCAGTCATTTATATTTCAGGATTGTAGTAATTTATAGTAAATTAAGTAAGTTTATTTAAGAGGGGAACCCATTTTTCTTGCATTCTTGAATGAAAAAAAGTAACAAAATAGTTATTTTTCTTTGCAATTAGTTACTTGTATAATCTTGTAACTCGGTAAGTAACTGAGTTACTTTTTTGACAACGTAATCAGTAACTATAACTAATGACTTTTTAAAAGTAACGTTCCCAACATTGGCCGTTACTCACAAAATGGTTGATAGTGATTTCATTACCCTTAAAGTAGCAGTGTGTAGCTTCCTAGTGCTAGGGGGCGGTACATACATTTCAGCGTAGTTTTATATCAGACCACTGCGACTGTTGCTAGTTTTAAAAAAACATTACAGTAAATGTTGTTGCCTGTGGAGCAGAAAGCACGCAGCCTCAGCGTGCCTCTTCAGACTTTGATGGTCCTTCAGTTAATTCCACTGAGACAAAGCATGGTTGATTGTAGTTTTCTGGATCTGCTCAGGGTCCTGCGCCTACTCATGACATCATCATACTACAACAATACCACTCATCCAAAATATATTGTATTTAATTTTTGATTCTGTTCTTCCACATACTGTATGTTTAGGAATGAGTTTAGAAATGTTCTTATTAAATTCATGTTTCTTATCACCTAAATGGTTTTGAACGTGGTAACGTAACTTCTGTAAGTCGTACGTCCAGCCTATCATCTAGTGTAATGTCATCGACAACGACAGCGACAATGATGTCATTACCCGTAACACACGTCATGAGTTTGTCGTACTGTTACAAACACTCATTTGTTAAATTCATAATAAAAGCAGTACTGACGGTAACCCCGGCTATCCACTTGATCCTTAAGCGCTGCCAAATGCAGTAAATACGTTTTACCATTGAGCTCCCTTGCTACTGGGAGCGTTTCAGACGTGAAACGGCAGTGAAAGCATTCGAAGCAGTGAGGTCAGGAAATCAACATAACATGCAGTTAACGCCATAGAAAAATGGCAGCATTAATCCAAAAAGGCTTCTGTTTACCTCTGCTATGGAGGATTCATGGGAAAGAATGTAATTTTTTTTTACTAGCGCAATTGGAAATCTGAACAGGCCTTTTATTTTGACAGTTTACAGATAATTTATGTTGCTTTCATGTTTGACTTCCTGACTCGCCCTATAGTGAGCCTAAGTCACATCACGTGTCCCCGGAAGAACAAAAATATGAATGCAAGTCTATGAGGCTGAAAACGCCATAATTCCGCATGTTTTGTGCCATGGATTTCACATATGATGTTTGTGAATTTTAACGACGCATTTTTATACCAAGAAAACGCTTATTTTTGAATGGGGGAAACGATATTTTAGGTTTTGTGTGAAAATAAGTCCAGGACTACAAATGCGCATTACGAAAGTGACGTCATCGAACCAGACACGAAGAAAACTGAGGGAAAAGGGCTGTAAGTTCAGCAAACTTACCACAGGAGGAAAGAACCACCATAAGTCTGGTCATGTGGTAAGTAGCAGCTACGCTAGTGGAGAGGAGATTATGTGGTGACGTCACATATGCGACGTGCCAATTTCTAGTTTGTAGTCATGCTAATTACGAACTTTTACAAGCTAATAAATCTCAAAGTACGTGACTGGCGTGGTCGAAACACCCATCATTACTTTTCATTTAAATTACAGTACAGCACGTGTGATCCAGGGCGTAAGGCTAAGCGGATTAGAAAATAACATTTTTAGCCCCGTTGACTTGTATTAATTTTTTGTTCTTCCGGGGACCCGTGATGCGGAAGTGACTTAGGCTCCCTACCTGAACTGCTGAGTTTGACGGGTTTTGAAAGTGTAGCGCATAAAAAGTAGACCAGACGTTGAAGCGATGCGCGTCCCTATGCTTCTGGGACACATCAAAAACGTGACTACTATAACGGCGGCTAGCTGCTGCATAATGTGTATGGATCTGATGGAAAAGCCGGGTCAAGCTGCTCCTGTGGCCGGGACCCTCAGTATCTCCTGGTTCTGCTTCATCATTATATGACTCCAAACTGTGGACGCTCCATATAGGCAGCTTTACACCCCCCCCCCACCCCCCCACCCCCACCCCCACCCCACCCCATCCTTTTCTTTTTGGAAAGCCATCCATCATCTCAGTCTGTCTGCCCATTCACAAACCATGCTGGGTATGGAATACTCCTCCTGCCACCAACAACAGGCCATCTATCTAAAAGGCTTCTTCCTGCACATAATGTGATTATGTTGAATGTGCCAAGAGGGAAATATCCTCTGAGGCAGAGAGCCGCAGCATGAAGGAATATTCCTAAGATGTATTTAGTAAAGTCAGAGCGAGCCCGCCATGCTCATCAGTCTCTGGGAGGAGAACAGTCATCCACTAGGGTTCTATCGACGTTCTTAACCACCTGATGATGTCATCGTACAAACTTGTCCCATAGAACAATAAACACCATGTGCAAACGGTGATCAAACTAGGCCATCATTTTGGCCTGAACCAATAGAACATCTAGTGTTTGGAGAACAAACATCTCCACCTCCACTCTATCAGCCGTTTTCTCTAGTCCTGACCTGTAGATTTGATCCGTGTGAAGGGTTATTTGGTATGAACCCACAGATCATTCATTTGTTTCCCCTGCTTGTTCAAACCCGGGTCGTGGGGTTAGCAGCCCCAGCAGAGAGGCTCAAACTGCCCTTTCCCCAGGAACCTCCACCAGCAGGCTCCCCCGGCGTTCCCTGGCCAACGGAGAGATATCATTCCTCCAACGTGTCCTAAGTTGACCTTGATGCCTGAAACACCTCCCCTGGGAAGCATCCAGGAGACATCCTCACCACCATTTCAGCTGGCTCCTCTCGACATGGAAGAGCAGCGGCCCCGCTCCAAGTCTTTCCTGAGTGTCCGGGTTCTTCACCCTATCTCTAAGGGTGAGCCCGGCCACCTGAAGGAGGACACTCCTTTTGGTTCTGACCACAACTTCAAAGCTAAGGAAAAATAAAGGCCCCTAACCAGCAGAACCAGAACATATCCAGCCCAGGAACTATTCAGTTCCTTCCGTCAGGCAGAGGTTTGGGCAGCTTGGAAGCATCTAACAAACACTAACCAGCTTTAACCACCTGGGTAAAAACCAGTAACCAGTTAATTGTTGACCAACAACATCACCATCACAGTTGGATGTGGTTCAGCTGGGGGAGGATGCCATCTAGTGGCTTTACTTTCAACATTCATTTCCCATGCAGCCCCAGCTGGGGTCTGATAATAAAGCCACATAAAAGTGACTTCCACCTCCCCGGTGGCAGCCGCCTCTCAGGATTCAATCATCATCCACCTGATTAGAGGAATTACCTGCCAGCAGAGCTCAATTATCCCAGACAACAAAGACTGTCTCTGTTAGAGGGAATCTGAACAAGAGCCAGGATCATTTAGGGAACCGGAGGAGGCTGTGGCCCTCGGGACGTAGCCATCATTTCTGAAGATGAGCTAATCTGATTTAATACTTTTAGTGCCTATCAAACTGCATTTTAAATGTTTTTAAGCCATCAACAAGCACACAAGATAACCCACTATAATATATGTGCATTAAAGTGAGAGGGTGCTCGCTGCAGAACCACAAAGGCGGAGCTGCACCAGTCAGCCCCGCCCATTCATGCAAACTCAGCCTAGCCCACTGACTTCCGTTTTTGTTTTTCAACTTTATCTCAAAGTAACCTGACCCACATGAATTACGGCTGTTACTAGTTTACAGTCGTTAATGCTATGTTCTAGGCTCCAATTAAACAAGAAAAATATAACTTGCCACATGACAAACCCTGAATATATCCAGAAATGAAAATTTCTTTTAGCGAATATCTGCCCACAGCCGCTCCAACAAAAGCCGGGTACAACACTATTTAAGGCAGTTGAATGGTTTCTGGTAGTCCAGTGGCAAGATCATGTGAATTAAGTCTTGCTTTCCTCTCTGCTGATGCCGGTTCGATTCTCGGTGGGGTCGGCAGCAATCTATTTAGCCAGCTGAAACATTTAATTTGTTTATATTTTAGTTGTAATGTTTATTTTCAGCAAAATATTTAAGTCTCTAAAAGTTCTTTGAATTTGGTCGTTCCTACACAGCATTTTAGTTGAAACTCTGCTCACAAATGCACTCACACTGGCTAAATAAATGAATAAATAAAAAATAAAAAACACATTAGTCATTATACTGTAAACGGTATACCAATAAAGTGTTGTAAACATAGTACTGGCAAGTGTAGCTAGAAAAGAAGAAAAAGGGTTATAAACTACCTATGTACTCCCGTTACTGAGAGGCGAACCTGCGCAAAACTGCTTGTCAATCCAACTCCACAACCACTTCACCACTACACCTGATAAAAAACAAGTGGTGTTACATGTAATTGTGCCAACCAGTGTGTCTTTGTAGATAGGATGTATGGTTTTTCCGTCGGTGTCTCACTAGAAGTCATTTCAGAAATAATTTGAGAAAATTCACAGAATATCAAGAATTGAGAACCAAGACCAGACCCGCTTCGGGGGAGGAGACCAAATTGAAGTTGAGATGGGAGGAAAATGCATGAATGAGGCCAAAAATGGCTTTGGCGTGTTTCTTATGAGGAAATGACAATATAACATGGTAAAAAGTTCCAAAAGTTAGATTTTTAATTAGGGCTGCACAATATATCGAAAAATTATCGTCATCCCGATAACAGGACTGCGATAGGCCCATCGCAAAGCATGTCAAAAACGGTGATAAATGTTTGGTTCAAACATTTCCATCCGTGTCATACATCAACTTTTTGTAAACCAGCTCTGTTTTTTACGCTGAAGTATTATTTGACCAATCAAATGTAGCCCTTCTGATGTGCCGCTTTCAAACGTGAACGTGAGTCCGCTCGGTGTCGTTAAGCAGCTGACAATAACCGGGCTGACTCCGACACGTGCCGGTGAACCAACCCACCGTTAGCCCCAGGCTCCGGTTAGCTTCCAGCTAAAAGGCTACAGCACTCTCCTCCCAGTCTCACCCTGCTAAAGAGGGCCTGGAAAAGTTCCCCCACACATCAAAGTGATTTTTCATTTATGAGCTTTTATAACCTTGTTAATCAGGATAGTTGGTTTGCTGCTGCACATAAACTGTCAGTCAGAAGCTCTGCTAGCCGGTTGGTTATCTTAACAGGAGCTAGCTCAATTTGTTAGCTTGTTATCAGAATCATAGTTGCAGTTTCATCATCTGAGCTGCTTTTTAAGATCTAGGTAAACTTGTTCAATTTGGGGTTAAAAACAAACATTTTCACATATTTTCCATGTAGTTTTTTGCCAGTTCCTCTTCTGAAAGGTAGACAATTGTTTTTCTCTTTCCCTCAGAAAATCTTAATGTTCTCCTAGTTTGGCCCAGCACAGTTCACTTCCCAATTACAGCAACAGCCTAATATCATAACCACATAAGTGGAGACAATGTTCAGTAGCAATGAGAGAGTTTGCTGTTGCATTTAAGTGATGTTAACTATTATTTAACATTTAAACTATTTATTCTAAAAACCCTGGTAAGGGATGTTTTTCTGTATTTGGAGCATCAGAAAAAGTTTAAGGTGGTGGTGATGTTTTAAAGTCACTGAGAAACTGCATGCATGCAGTTTGTTGTTTTGCTGCTAATACAGTAGCAGGTGCAGCTGCTAATACAGTAGCAGGTGCAGCTGCCAATACAGCAGCAGGTGCAGCTGCTAATACAGTAGCAGGTGCAGCTGCTAATACAGTAGCAGGTGCAGCTGCCAATACAGTAGCAGGTGCAGCTGCTAATACAGTAGCAGGTGCAGCTGCCAATACAGCAGCAGGTGCAGCTGCCAATACAGCAGCAGGTGCAGCTGCCAATACAGCAGCAGGTGCAGCTGCTAATACAGCAGCAGGTGCAGCTGCCAATACAGCAGCAGGTGCAGCTGCTAATACAGCAGCAGGTGCAGCTGCCAATACAGCAGCAGGTGCAGCTGCTAATACAGCAGCAGGTGCAGCTGCCAATACAGCAGCAGGTGCAGCTGCTAATACAGCAGCAGGTGCAGCTGCTAATACAGCAGCAGGTGCAGCTGCTAATACAGCAGCAGGTGCAGCTGCTAATACAGCAGCAGGTGCAGCTGCTAATACAGTAGCAGGTGCAGCTGCTAATACAGTAGCAGGTGCAGCTGCTAATACAGTAGCAGGTGCAGCTGCTAATACAGTAGCAGGCGCAGCTGCTAATACAGTAGCAGGTGCAGCTGCTAATACAGTAGCAGGTGCAGCTGCATATGTTTGCAATAAAAATGTTATGTTGTAATGAAATTCATGCATTAGTTTTTGTTTGTTTTGAACCCAGAGCAGACGTCACACGCCAGACGACATCAACACTGCATACTTTAGTATTTGTTCATGTATCGTGAGTAATATCGATATCGCAATATTAAGCACTGTTATCGAATATCGCAGGTTTTCCTAATATCATGCAGCCCTATTTTTAATTATATGGAACCTTTACAAAAACTGTTCAATTAACTTCTCAACTCCGTCCTCAATCTTGCATTTTAGATGATATTAGCTATAACACCCTCTTTGGTTCCAGAATGCTATCAAGTCTGACAACTGGAAGGAATTAGACCGACTCTGATGGAATGGGCGGGGCTGTCTCTGGTGCAGCTCCGCCTTTGTGGTTCTGCAGCCAGCACCACTTGATTAAAGTGGTGCTGCATGCAGGGTTCAGACACCAGAGCATCTCCATGTGCATTAGATCCAAAGACTGAGCGACACTTGGAAACTCTCAGAATATTTCAAAGTGTTAAATAGGGAGTAGGGCTGCTGCTCCTCCAAACCAAGAGGACCCAGTTGAGGTGGCTCAGGTATCTGGTTAGGATGCCTCCTGGACGCCTCCTTGGTGAGGTTTTTCTGGGCATGCCCAACCGGGAGGAGAGCTAAAGGAAGGCCCAGGACACGTTGAAGGGACTACGTCTCTCGGCAGGGCAGGGAACGCCCTGGGATTCCCCCGGAGGAGCTGGCCCAAGTGGCTGGGGAGAGGGAAGTCTGGGCCTCCCTGTTAGGCCGCAGCCCCCACGACCCGGCCCTGGAAAAGCAGCTGAAAATGGATGGATGGGCTAAACTTAAAATATACTTTTAAATTTTTATAGATAGTAATTATTATTGACATTGATCAGTGTGAATTACTTTATCAATATGCTTTATGGAAATATCGTCCAGTCTAAAATAAAACAATAATAAAAAATAAAACCTAATACTTCAGTAATGAAAACAGAAACTGTACGAGAAATGATACCAGGTAGGTCATAAAATCTACTATAGTTATTTTAAATTCAAAACCTGTCAGAAAATGTGTTCTTTGTCTACTTTTAAACGACTTTGTAGCCCTAGTATCAGAGTTACTCGATTAATCACATTTTAATCTAAACTACGATCTGGATTTTGATCGATTATGAAAACAAAATCAGCCGATCATTATCCCCTCCCTGCCGGGTTACTCTCAGGCTACTCCGAGTGGGAAATCGAGTGCACCTCCCACACAGTGTTGCCAACTTAGCAACTTTGTTGCCATTTCTAACAACTTTTCAGACCTTTGCCTTTGTGACTTTCTTTCCCCAAAAGCATCTAGAAAGCAGCACTTCTGATGACCCTTAGCTACTTTCTTCTCTGCAGGTTAGCAAAACACCCAGCCTGCGCTCCAGAACATTAGCAAAGGGAATGATGTGCACATGTGCAGCGTGATCACAATACAACAACAAACCGATCCCAAACCTTTCTCAGTGGATCTCACTCGCTCATAAAAACAGCTGTTTTACCAACTAAATAAAGTCACGATAGAGCGAGCTATATCTGGAGTGGATTTTTATTTTATCATGGCTGCAAAATCTCACATGATGAGCGTGAGACACACATTTGACTGTCTTCATGCGCTCTCACGTCACACCTCCAGTTTCTCGGACCGATAAATAAGAATAGTTCATCTCTGAGCGAAACGCTCCATCGTGCTGCAGTAAACACTCCCCTAAGGCACCGCTGGGGAGGGCTAAATAATTATAATGTAGCAGGTTGTGTAATTTATTGTTGTATTTATTTTATATTACTAAAGTTTTCACTGTATATCCTTCTTTTGTTGTCAGTATTTGTGTTATCAACGTTAAAGATTGTGTTAAATAATCGAGATCTAATTTTCAGGCAAATTAACTGTGATGATTATTTTTGCCATAATCAAGCAGTCCTTCCTACTTAGCATATCTGCGCAGACATAATGTTTCTAAGAAGGGTCTCAGCCACAAATTCACTTAAATGTAAAAAGTGGGGGTTGTGCTGGAATAAAAGGTACAGGTGCAGCGCTACAGGAACGGGAGGTGATGAGTTTGTGAGAAGATGGGCAGCAGCTTTCTCAACCAGCTGGGGGCGACGCGATCAATGGAGGGTCAGGCCAGGTCACACCGACACGTAAAGCTCTGCAGCGGTCTAGTTGGAACAAATGAGAGTGAATAGTTTTCTCTGCTTCCACTTTTCTGTCAGTTACAGAAACTTTTTATCAAACACTTGTAAATGTTTTCAAACACTGATGAGAAAACAGTATTACCTAAATAATAAATGAAAACAAAATAACCTATGTTTTGTTGTCTTTTTTCTTTTCTTTTCTTTTCTGACGACTAGAAAGATTAAACTCGCTCTAATATAAATGACATGGACTCAGATGAGCTAATTCTGTGCTCGCATTTCTGTGGATTTATTTTAATTTATGTTTATAAACACAACACACCTTCGGTGAACAGAACGTTTTCCTGGTCCATGAACGCACCATCGCTTCAGAACTAACTCATGCTAAGCTAGCAGGTGTTTACCTACAGAATCAGAGTTTTCAAGGTAACTTTAGTTACTTCTCTGGGACAGAGGTTCTGAAATTACCTTAAACACATTTATAATTAATAAAATAAAATAAGGTGGGCATATTTTCCATGAGAATTCTATGGAGCTGTAGAAACGAGACCCGTGTGACCTCCTAATGTTTACCTGCCACTCGGTCATGAAACTGTCCGCCTCCTCTGCTGTCGCCTCCTTGTGTCTTCTGAACTCGTCCTTCACATACTGGTCCCCCAGAGCCCTCAGGTGGAGGGGCAGGAACCGGTGAAGGACCAGAATCCGCTTATACAGCCGGCGGACTCTGGACACATGAGCAGACATCACGTCCGATCTGGACAAGTCTTCCGAAATACCTAAAAATAGTCACTCAACAACATAAGAGCACCTGATTTCACTTCTTCTTCTTCTTCTTCTTCTTCTTCTTCTTGAATTTCATGGCGGTTGGCAAGCAACTTTTGGTGCGCATTACCACCACCTTCTGGAGTGGAGTGTGGGCGGGGAAGGCCCCAGCAGTCTTGTCATCCTAAAATAAAATCCTGTGGATCTTAAAAATACAATCAAAGCCTTAAAAACAACATCTAATGCCAGGCCTACTAATATTTCCTTAACTAAAAAAGGAATCCTTTGTTCTAAAACTCCAGCTTTCAATAATCTATCTCTGGTGTCTGTACGTCTCACAGTGAATAGCAACGTGTTCTAACGTTTCCAACTCTCCACAGTATCTGCAACTTCCAGTTTCATGTTTGCCACTTATATATAAAGTGCTATTTAAGCCTGTGTGTCCAAGTCTGATACGGGCCATGGCATCTTCTTCTTTTCAATTTTTTAAATTCCACGATCCCGTCTCCCCCACCTGCTTATGTAAATTTTAATGAAACCGTCCTTTAATTTCCCATTTATACTTTCTTGCCACCTTCTTTTAAATTTCTCTTTAACTATACACTTTGCCTCTGACTTGCTAATTTAACATGGAAAATCAATGTATGTATTACATGCTCATTTTCTAGCAACCCCGATGTGAGAAGATACCCATAAAAACATCTTGTTTCTAGAACAAGATAATCTATATAAGGACTGTTGAATTTCTACAACGGTGTCCTGTCTATAGTCTGATTTCATACTTTTAATACTCAATAATGCACTACTAGAATCTGAAACTATCAAAACTCTTCCTATTTCATTATCCTCTATCCAATTTAAAGCAATAAGAATAGTTAAAAGCTCACCAGTAAAAACAGACAAATTATCACTAACTCTTTTATTTACTTTAATACCAAACTCCAATATTATAAAAGCAATGCCAACTTTACCATCCATCATTTTAGATGAATCTGTATATATATATATATATATATATATATATATATATATATATATATATATATATATATATATATATATATGTATTAACATATTCAGAATAAAATCTCCTAATGTGACCTTCAATAACAGCACTACTGTATGTTTTCAACTTCAGCAATTCCAAAGCAACCTTTGTCTACTGATTTCACTTAACGATGCTTGCACCTTTTAGCTCCTTGTTAATTCTGGAAGTCTTTGGTTTTTGTTTCCGGTGTTCCGTTGTGGGGCTTCGTTACTGCCACCTACTGGATCCGAGCAGAACAACGGGCTCTCTGGCGGGAGATTTGTGCCAAAAATAAAAAAAATAGCCAAAAGCCAGTCGTCAGGAAAAGGTTAAATGATAAATGATAAATGACCCGCTCTTGTATAGCGCCTTACATTATTACAGTGTATCATTCATCCATTCACACACACATTCACACACTGATGGGGATGAGCTACGATGTAGCCACAGCTGCCCTGGGGCGCGCTGACAGAGGCAAGGCTGCCGAGCACAGGCGCCACCGGTCCCTCCGACCACCACCAGCCTGTACACAACATGTGTTAAACAACACATTTATTTAATAACAATAAAATTATTTGTCTTTCATGTTTGTTTCATTTTGAATCTCACACAGAATCAGAAGGGTTATATTGCCGTATGCCATATAGGAGCTCCAACATGCCACACAGTGATTGAAGAGGTGAGGATGGACTTGATGACTGCGGTGTAGAACTGCCTCACTGACTGTAGGTCATCAACAGCAGGTTAAATTTCTTCAGCTGCCTCAAAAAGTACATCCTCTGCTGGGCCTGTTTTATGATGGAGGTGATGGTGGGCTCTCACTTGAGGTCCTGGGTGATGGTGGTGCCCAGGAAGTAGCATGAGTCCATCATTGTGATGGGAGTGCCAGACAGGGTTATGGGGGAGTGGCTCTGTGTGCTTCCTAAAGTACACAACCACCTCTGCTGTCACACCAAAGTCTACAGAAAATTAATTAATTTCTCCCTCTCCCTCTCTCTCTCTCTCTCTCTCTCTCTCTCTCTCTCTCTCTCTCTCTCTCTCTCTCTCTCTCTCTCTCTCTCTCTCTCTCTCTCTCTCTCACACACACACACACACACACACACACACGCACCTCAGTCATGGTTAGGCCAGTAATACCAAATGCCCACCTCACTGGTTTGCACAAGAGAGTAAAATAGCTCAATAGTTTGACCGCTGGAAACAGAGGATTTAGATAAATAATTAGCCTCTAATACTGCTGTAAGTAACATTAATCCTGAAAGATCAAAGGAATAAAAATGTCACTCCAAGGTTTCAATGCACAGATTTAACTGGGGTTTTTCCTTTATTGATGGAGAAGACTCGCTGGTTACAAAAATGACTCGTACACTAGTTGGGTATCTATGAGGAAAATCTGAAAGTGACTGAGTTTCTATATTTTATCTTCAAAATTATTTGGATCTATTCGATGCTAATAAACAAGTTGTGTTATCAGCCTAAAACAAATAATGCAAAGTCAAATTTAAAGACTCAACTTTAGGGGAATTGTGATCAGTTTCATTCACGGTAAATCTGGCGCTCTTTTGATTTAGCCTTGTAGAACTTAAGGAGGCCTGAAATTTTTTGCTCAGAAGAACGATGCAGCACAAGAAGTGAAATGTTTGATCCTTGAGCAAACAGTTTAAATTCTCAGTAACTACAAAACTGCTGGTAAAGGTTTAGCTGGAATCTTGACTCAAGCTGGTACTTGACCAAAGTATATACAAGAACGGGGGTGGGGGGTGGGGTGGTGGGGGTATAATACCCTCAGTTATTTTCTGCATGGAAATATTGAGAAGAAGACAGAGAAATGTCTCAAGTGCCTTTTCCCAAAGTACGTGTTTTCAAGTATAATAATCAAAATATTATGTATTTTGTTTTGTGTACATACATGAATATGTTCCTCTGTTGCAAAGATGCACCTCTGTTGAAAACAATTGTTAGCTGACAACGCTGTTGGTGTGTATTTTTGAACATGACGAACCAGTAATTTAATTATTTGTTTTAATATCATTCAGTACAGTTTCACAGACTGCAAAGTTAACAATAACACGTTAAGATTAAAAATGAGAAAAATAAATGTTCCCCTTCCGGCGAGGAAATAATGTTTATTTGTTTATGTTTATTTATTTAGCAGACGCTTTTATCCAAAGCGACTTACAATGTATAACCTATAGGGCATGTTGTGATCTGTGGGGGAAACCGGAGTACCCGGAGGAAACCCACGCATGCATGGGGAGAACACGCAACTCCACGCAGAAAGGCCGCAGCCGAGCAGAGTTTCGAACCTGTAACCTTCGTGCTGCGAGGCAACAGTGCTAACCACTGTGCCACCATGCAGCCCATCAAATAAAAACATTTGAAATGTTTATGGAAAATTAAATCTTCAATATTAAAATCTAATATTTGTCATTTCCTATTCTACCCAAAATGAAAACTAAGAATGGACGCTAAAGCAACAACAGCCTTCCTCGAGCCAAGATGGGTGAGTCCATGAATGTAAAGTGACAGTGTGGCGTAGATCTGTCAGAATTTTCAAATCCTAGAAATTCACGGCATGACGTTTTCACACAATATGCAGTCAGTCAACAGATTTCCACAATGTTTACATTGTCTTAACAGAGAAGCTATGCCTCCCAACAAAACTGGATTGTTTTTGTGGTATTTGTGAACGTTACACAACATCCCACAATAGCAAAAACAATATTCCTAACCTTAGATGCAGTATAAAAACCTCTGCTTCTGCAATGAGGATCTCAAAAACAATAGATCTCAGTTGATGATAAACAAACAACTGAATAATTTACACACAGCTGGTTACATTCAGGCTTAGACTCAGTGGAAGGTGTCATTTTTCTATTACACTGACACTAAAATAAAAGGAGGAATTTTTGGAAATAACAAAAAAGACAAACACTGGACGAGGAAGAGTAAGAGCAAAGGGCCTCCGGGAGAAGAGCAGGCCCAAGGAGAGGCCAAAGCAGAGGCATAAGAATACGTGGAGGTGGCTGTAAGAACAGTAGTCAGTGATGAAATTTGTGCCACCATCATTGACCATGTAATCAACCATGGTCTTTCACTGAGAGGTTGGCAGTCCAATTTGAGTCGGTCAACGGTTGCCTCCATTATATGCATCTTCCAACAAACCAACAGGTAAGTATTGCATGATAGAATGGATTGCTTTTATTGTCACTTGAAGTATAAATAAGACCATATAGTAATGCGTATTTCCCTCTAAAGAATGCAACGTCTTCCACCCTCTGAGGGAAGAGAAAAACTCCTCAATAATGATAAAGAGCTTGCCATTGTGGACAGGGCCGGCTTTGCCGACAGGCGACACAGACGGCCGCCTGGGGTGCCATCTGATGGATAGGGTGCAAAATTTCAAAAAAAAAAAAAAAAAAAAAAAGTTTATTAAACTTATGTTTGTAATATGAAATGCACTCTCTACATACTCAAAAGTCCCCTCTGAAATGACATGAAATTAAAACATCAATATTTAAATTCTAATGATCTGGCTGCATGACGAGCTCCCGCTTGGGCCACCGCTCCGAAGCATTTGACCGTTAAGGGTGCCGTAGATCACGTGCGTGGGTAGCACTGTAGGACATCCTGTTGTCGCGTTTAAACTTTTGATATTTTTTACGATGAAAAGAATGCCTGAGCCATCGGAATCAGCATTTCGAAAGCGAAGGAAGGAGGAAGAAAAAAAACGGGCCCAAAGCAGAGGTATGTAGGCTTTATAAATTTGGCAAAGGAACGTTTTGCGTTAGCATTGTAGCTAACTGCCTCTCCTGCCACGCACGGTCCACGGACGGACCCTCGCTAGCTGTGTACATACACAATACAGTATCTCATAACTTTAACCAATTAATTTTACTTTTGAATTGTCGTGTCCAGATGCAGCGAGACATATCTGCAGCCACACAGGCACCTGTGGATACCGGGGGGGGGGGGGGGGGGGGGGGACTGTCTTTACACCTGTTGAGTCTCACTGTGATCATGAAGAATGTAAGATTTTTTTTTTTTACCGTTTTTTG